TGAAATGCAGACCCTATTCTGAGAAAGTTCAGGGTTTATTGAAATAGGGAGATGCTTCTACAGACCTCAGCAGAATAATGAAGGCTGTTAACAAGCAAAACAAACAAACACCCCTTTCTCTATATAGTTTTTTCCTGCTTCTTTTTTTTAAAAAAAATCTCCCATCACAACTGCTGGTAAAGAGACACAACATTAACACCAACATGCAAAAGCTGAGGCTACATTCAAATTGTTGAACATCTAGCAGAAAATCCTTCTGAAATTCCTTTGTTTTTGTTTTTTTGAATGTTGGACCATAGTTTATTCCTGCAATTCACACTGAAAAGAAAAACAGCTCACATGGAGGTGATGGGTGTATGCTGTTGTTAAAATCTTGCACCACAGAAGTTCTCCATGGCACAAATTATACCCTGTTTGTTGTCATAATATACATAAATTTTTAAAATGTAGAAGTGCCGTTCCCTTTTTTTTTAACATCTTTATTGGAGTATAATTTCTTTACAATGTGGTGCTAGTTTCTGCTGTATAAAAGAGTGAATCAGTTATATGTATACATTTATCCCCATATCCCCTCCCTCTTGCGTCTCCCTTCCACCCTTCCTAACCCACCCCTCTATGGTCACAAGGCACCTAGCTGACCTCCCTGTGCTATGCGGCTGCTTCCCACTAGCTATCTATTTTACACTTGGAAGTGCATATATATCAATGCCACTCTCTCACTTCATCCCAGCTTACCCTTCCCCTTGCCCCTCCCCATGTCCTCAAGTCCATTCTTTACCTCTGTGTCTTTATTCCTGTCCTGCCCCTAGGTTCCTCAGAACCATCTTTTTTTTAGATTCTATATATATGTGCTATAGCATACGGTATTTGTTTTTCTCTTTCTGACTTACTTCACTCTGTATGACAGACTCCAGATCCATGCACCTCACTACAAACAACTCAATTTCGCTTCTTTTTATGGTGAATATTCCATTGTATATACGTGCCACATCTTCTTTATCCATTCATCTGTCAATGGACATAAGGTTGCTTCCATGTCCTGGCTATTGTAAATAGTTCTGTAATGAAAATTGTGGTACATGACTTTTTGAATTATGGTTTTCTCAGGGTATATGCCCAGGAGTGGGATTGCTGGGTTGTTTGGTAGTTCTACTTTAAGTTTTTTAGGGAACCTCCATACTGTTCTCCATAGTGGCTGTATCAATTTACATTCCCACCAACAGTGAAAGAGGGTTCCCTTTTCTCCACACCCTTTCCAGCATTTATTGTTTCTAGATTTTTTGATGATGGCATTTCTGACTGGTGTGAGGTGATACCTAATTATAGTTTTGATTTGCATTTCTCTAATGATTAGTGATGTTGAGCATCCTTTCATGTGTTTGTTGGCAATCTGTATATCTTCTTTGGAGAAATGTCTATTTAGGTCTTCTGCCCATTTCTGGATTGGATTTTTTGTTTTCTTGATATTGAGCTGCATGAGCTATTTTGGAGATTATTCCTTTGTCAGTTGCTTCATTTGCAAATATTTTCTCTCATTCTGAGGGTTGTATTTTTGTCTTGTTTATGGTTTCCTTTGCTGTGAAAAAGCTTTGAAGTTTCATTAGGTCCCATTTGTTTATTTTTGTTTTTATTTCCATTACTCTAGGAGGTGGGTCAAAAAGGATCTTGCTGTGATTTATGTCATAGAGTGTTCTGCCTATGTTTTTCCATAAGGGTTTTAAGTGTCTGGACTTACATTTAGATCTTTAATCCACTGTGAGTTTATTTTTGTGCATAGTGTTAGGGACTGTTCTAATTTCTTTTACATGTAGCTGTCCACTGTTCCCAGCACCACTTATTCAAGAGATTGTCTTTTCTCCATTGTACATTCTTGCTTACTTTAACAAAGACAAGGTGTGCCTGGGTTTATCTCTGGACTTTCTATCCTGTTCCATTGATCTATGTCTCTGTTTTTGTGCCAGCACCATACTGTCTTGATTACTGTAGCTTTGTAGTATAGTCTGAAATCTGGGAACACGTTTCCTCCAGCTCCGTTTTTCTTTCTCAAGATTGCTTTGTCTATTCAAGGTCTTTTGTGTTTCCATAGAAATTGTGAAATTTTTTGTTTTAGGTCTGTGAAAAATGCCATTGGTAGTTTAATAAGGATGGCATTGAATCTGTAGATTTCTTTGAATAGTACAGTCATTTTCACAATGTTGATTCTTCCAAAGCAGGAACATGGTATATCTCTCCATCTGTTTGTATCATCTTTATTTTCTTTCATCAGTGTCTTATAGTTTTCTGCATACAGGTTTTTGTCTCCTTAGGTAGGTTTATTCCTAGGTATTTTATTCTTTATGTTGCAGTGGTAAGTGGGAGTGTTTCCTTAATTTCTCTTTCAGATTTTTCATCATTAGTTTGTAGGAATGCAAGAGATTTCTGTGCATTAATTTTGTATCCTGCTACTTTTCCAAATTCATTGATTAGCGCTAGTAGTTTTCTGGTAGCCTCTTTAGGATTCTGTACGTAAAATGTCATGTCATCTCAAACAGTGAGAGCTTTACTTCTTCTTTTCCAATCTGGATTCCTTTTATTTCTTTTTCTTCTCTGATTAGTGTGGCTAAAACTTCCAAAATTATGTTGCATAATACTGGTGAGACTAGGCAACCTTGTCTTGTTCCTGATCTTAGTGGAAATGGTTTCAGTTTTTCACCATTGAGAATGATGTTGACTGTGGGTTTGCCATATATGGCCTTTATTATGTTGGGGTAAGTTTGCTCTATGCCTGCTTTCTGGAGAGTTTTTTTTTTTATCATAAATGGGTGTTAATTTAGTCAAAAGTTTTTTCTGCATCAATTGAGATTATCATATAGTTTTTATCCTTCAATTTGTTAATATGGTTTATCAAATTGATTGATTTGAATATATTGAAGAATCTCTGCATTCCTGGGATGAACTCCACTTGATCATGGTGTATGATCCTTTTAATGTGCTCTTGGATTCTGTTTGCTAGTATTTTGTTGAGGATTTTTGCATCTATTTTCATCAGTGATAATGGCCTGTAGCTTTCCCTTTTTTGTGACTTCTTTGTCTGGTTTTGGTATCAGGGTGATGGTGGCCTCATAAAATGAGTTTGTGAGTGCTCTTCCCACTGCTATATTTTGGAAGAGTTTGAGAGGATAGGTATTAGCTCTTCTCTAAATGTTTGATAGAAGTCACCCGTGAAGCCATCTGGTCCTGGACTTTTGTTTGTTGGAAGATTTTTAATCACAGTTTCAATTTTAGTGCTTGTGGTTGGTCTGTTTAAATTTTCTCTTTCTTCCTGGTTCAGTTTCAGAAGATTGTGCTTTTCTAAGAATTTGTCCATTTCTTCCAGGTTGTGCATTTTATTGTCATAGAGTTGCTTGTAGTAATCTCTCATGAAACTTTGTATTTCTGCAGTGTCATATGTTACTTCTCCTTTTTCATTTCTAATTCTGTTGATTTGAGTCTTCTCCCTTTTTTTCTTGATGAGTCTGGCAAATGGTTTACCAATTTTCTTTATCTTCTCAAAAAACAAGTTTTTAGTTTTACTGATATTTGCTATTGTTTCCTTCATTTCTTTTGCATTTATTTCTGATCTGATCTTTATGATTTCTTTCCTTCTGCTAACTTTGGGTATGTTTTGTTCTTCTCTAATTGCTTTAGGTGTAAGGTTAGGTTGTTTATTTGAGAGGTTTCTTGTTTCTTGAGGTAGGATTGTAATGCTATAAACTTCCCTCTTAGAACTGCTTTTGGTTGTTGGGGATAATGACAGACTCTGGGAGGGCTCATGCCAAGGAGTACTTCCCAGAACATCTGCTGCAGGTGTCATTGTCCCCATGGTGAGCCACATCCACCCTCCACCTCTGCAGGAGACCTTCCAACACTAGTAGCCGTGTGGATGAAATGCTCTTGGTTCTCCAGCCAGGAGTCACTGCAGTGTATCTGAGGTGGGAGAGCCACCTTCAAGACACTGGTCCACAAGAGACCTCACAGCTCCACGTAATATCAAATGGCGAAAATCTCCCAGACATCTCCATCTCAACACCAACACCCAGCTCCACTCAATGACCAGCAAGCTACAGTGCTGGACACCATATGGCAAACAACTAGCAAGACAGGAACACAACACTGTCCATTAGCAGAGAGGCTGCCCCAAATCATAATAAGGCCACAGACACACCAAAACACACCACCAGACGTGGACCTGCCCACCAGAAAGACAAGATCCAGCCCCATCCACCAGAACACAGGCACTAGTCCCCTCCACCAGGAAACCTACACAACGAACTGAACCAATTTTAGCCATTGGGGACAGACACCAAAAACAACGGGAACTACGAACCTGTAGCCTGCAAAAAGGAGACCCCAAACACAGTAAGATAAGCAAAATGAGAAGGCAGAAAAACACACAGCAGATGAAGGAGCAAGATAAACACTCACCAGATCTAGCAAATGAAGAGGACATAGGCAATCTACCTGAAAAAGAATTCAGAATAATGATAGTAAAGATGATCCAATATCATGGAAATATAGAAAATGCAAGAAGCATTTAACAAGGACCTAGAAGAATTAAAGAGGAAAAAAGCAACGATGAACAACAAATAAATGAAATTAAAAATACTCTGGAAGGAATCAATAGCAGAATAACTGAGGCAGAAGAATGGATAAGTGACCTGGAAGATAAAATAGTGGAAATAACTGCTGCAGAGCAGAAAAAAGAAGAAAAGAATGAAAAGAAATGAGGAGAGTCTCAGAGACCTCTGGGATAACATTAAACACACCACCATTCAAATTATAGGGGTCCCAGAAGAAGAAGAGGAAAAGAAAGGGACTGAGAAAATATTTGAAGAGATTATAGTTGAAAACATCCCTAACATGGTAAAAGAAATAGTTAATCAAGTCCAGGAACCACAGGGAGTCCCATACAGGATAAATCCAAGGAGAAACATGCCAAGACACATATTAATCAAACTGTCAAAAATTAAATACAGCACTTTGTGCTGGGGCGCTCTAGTGCGACCATGGACCGGAAGAAAAAGCCTTTGGACGTCACGGCGTCTTCGTTGGTAGACCTTAAGGCTGAACTCTTCCCAAAACAAGAAGAATTCAAACAAGAAAAACTTCTAAAAGATGCTGGAGTTTTGGGGAAACCAAAACCAACTACTAAGAAACCAAGTATCTGGAGCAGACAAAACACAGGAGTTTCGAATCGAGCTGAGAAGGATGCTGAACAGAAGATTGAGGAACAGAAGACTTTGGACAAAGCGAGGGAGAAATTGGAAGAAAAAGCCAAATTATATGAAAAAATGACTAAAGGAGCCTTTATAGATGAAGAAGTGGAGGATATGTACCTTGTGGATTTCACACAGAAGATCATAGACAAACGCAAAGAAATGGAAGAGCTTGGTGCCAATAGAGATTATAGAAAGACAGAAAGAGATGATGATGAAGAAACCGTTTCTGAAAAAGATATCCCTCCTCCCCAGGATCCCAGTGAAGAATGGGTGGATTATGTGGATTCTTTAGGGCGATCCCAGCGCTGTATGAGAAAGGATTTGCCACATCTGCTGGAAATGGATAAAAATCTTCAGGGGAGGCTTTTCATTAGTCCTGCAAATGAAAAAACTTTACTATCTGAAGATATGAGAAAAGAACTCCAGCGCCAGCAATGGGAGGAAGAAGAGAGGGAGTCCCTGAGAAGACCAATGGGGCCCGTACATTACGAAGACATTCGTGAAAATGAGGCCCGGCAACTTGGTGTTGGATACTTTGCCTTTGCCCGAGATAAAGAGTTGAGAAACAAGCAGATGAAAACTTTAGAAATGCTGCGTGAGCAGACAACAGATCAGAGAACAAAACGAGAAAATATAAAGGAAAAGAGAAAGGCTATGTTAGAAGCAAGACTTGCCAAACTCCAACAAAAAAAGATGAAAACATCTAAAGAGGATGGAGCAGAGGAAGAAGTTAGAGATGGAGATGTTATTGGGCCATTGCCACCAGAACCAGAGGTCATGCCAGCTCCTCATACAGCTGCCCAGAGTAGCAAAGTCGAAGTCATCGTTCAGGAGAGGAAGGATACCCGGCCTGGGGTGCCACACATCCGGGAGTGGGACAGAGGAAAAGACTTTTCCTTTGGGTATTGGTTGAAGAGGCAATCAGATCTCCAGGCTCAGAGAGACCCTGAGTTTGCCCCACCATCGAACTACTTTGTGGACCAAAAAAGAACTGGTTCTCTGAGTAGCCAGGCATGGAACAGACCTGCACCTGCACAGAGTGACCCAGGGCAGCACCCTGGCCAGAGCCATGACCCCAGCTCTTCACATACATCATCCACTCCAGCCCCCAGCGGCCTACCACAAGCCCAGGTGGTCACTTTTGAAACCCTGGATGATATGATTTCATACTATAAACAAGTGACATGAACTTGAAAACGCTATAACTTGGGTCTGTACTATTGATGGTGCCTTCCTCTCCCAGAGCAGAGAAAATAACTTAACTTTAGGGACTGAACTGTAACTTTCTCGTCCTGTCTTTTCCCTGAAGATCCAGACTTCAGGCTGTATTTGTCAGCAGGGAAGAAAGTGAATGGTACTGTGGGAACTCCGGCCACTTAGCTGTTCATTTCATTCTCATTGGTATGGAGATACCAGTTCATCTGGATTTACATGTGAGCTGAGGTAGAGTAAACATACTCTGTAATACTTGAAAAAAAAATTAAATACAAAGAAAACATATTAAAAGCAGCAAGGGAAAAACAACAACACATAAGGGAATCCCCATAAGGTTAACAGCTGATCTTTCAGCAGTAACAGCAAGCCAGAAGGGACTGGCAGGACATATTTAAAGTGATGAAGGAGAAAAACACACAACCAAGATTACTCTACTGAACAAGGATCTCATTCAGATTTGATGGAGAAATTAAAACCTTTACAGACAAGCAAAAGCTAAGAGAGTTCAGCACCACCAAACCAGCTTTACAACAAACGCTAAAGAAACTTCTCTAGGCAAGAAACACAAGAGAAGGAAAAGACCTACAATAAAACCAAAAACAATTAAGAAAATGGGGATAGGAACATACATATCGATAATTACCTTAAATGTAAATGGATTAAATGCTCCCACCAAAAGACACAGACTGGCAGAATGGATATAAAAACAAGACCCATATATATGCTGTCTACAAGAGACCCACTTCAGACTTAGGGACACATACAGACTGAAAGTGAGGGGATGGAAAAAGATATTCCATGCAAATGGTAATCAAAAGCAAACTGGAGTAGCAATTCTTATATCAGACAAAATAGATTTTAAAATAAAGACTATTAGAAGAGACAAAGAAAGACACTACATAATGATCAAGGGAATGATCCAAGAAGAAGATATAACAATTGTAAATATTTATGCACCCAACATAGGAGCACCTCAATACATAAGGCAAATACTAACAGCCATAAAAGGGGAAATTGACAGTAACACAATCATAGTAGGGAACTTTAACACCCCCCTTTCAGCAGTGGACAGATCACTCAAAATGAAAATAAATAAGGAAACACAACCTTTAAATGATACATTAAACAAGATGGACTTAATTGATATTTATAGGACATGCCATCCAAAAACAGCAGAATACACATTTTTCTCAAGTGCTCATGGAACATTCTCTAGGATAGATTATATCTTGGGTCACAAATCAAGCCTTGGTAAATTTAAGAAAATTGAAATTGTATCAAGTATCTATTCCAACCACAATGCTATGAGACTAGATATCAGTTACAGGAAAAGATCTGTAAAAAAATACAAACACATGGAAACTAAACAGTAGACTAATCAATAATGAAGTGATCAATGAAGAAATCAAAGAGGAAATCAAAAAATACTTAGAAAAAAATGACAATGGAGACACGATGACCCAAAACCTATGGGATGCAGCAAAAGCAGTTCTAAGAAGGAAGTTTATAACAATACAATCCTACCTTAAGAAACAGGAAACATCTCGAATAAACAACCTAACCATACACCTAAAGCAATTAGAGAAAGAAGAACAAAAAAAACCCAAAGTTAACAGAAGGAAAGAAATCATAAAGTTCTGATCAGAAATAAATGAAAAAGAAGGAAACGATAGCAAAGATCAATAAAACTAAAAGCTGGTTCTTTGAGAAGATAAACAAAATTGATAAACCATTAGCCAGACTCACCAAGAAAAAAAGGGAGAAGACTCAAATCAATAGAATTAGAAATGAAAAAGGAGAAGTAACAACAGACACTGCAGAAAAAGAAAAGATCATGAGAGATTACTACAAGCAACTCTATGCCAATAAAATGGACAAACTGGAAGAAATGGACAAATTCTTAGAATGCACAACCTTCAAAAACTGAACCAGGAAGAAATAGAAAATATGAACAGACCAACCACAAGCACTGAAATTGAAACTGTGATTAAAAATCTTCCAACAAACAAAAGCTCAGGACCAGATGGTTTCACAGGCGAATTCTATCAAACATTTAGAGAAGAGCTAACACCTATCCTTCTCAAACTCTTCCAACATATAGCAGAGGGGGGAGCATTCCCAAACTCATTCTATGAGACCACCATCACCATGATACCAAAACCAGGCAAAGATGTCACAAAGAAAGAAAACTACAGGCCAATATCACTGATGAACATAGATGCAGAAATCCTCCACAGAATACTAGGAAACAGAATCCAACAGCATATTAAAAGGATCATACACCATGATCAAGTGGGATTTATTCCAGGAACGTAAGAATTCTTCAATATATGCAAATCAATCACCGTGATACACCATATTAACAAATTGAAGGAGAAAAACCATATGATCATCTCAATAGATGCAGAGAAAGCTTTCGACAAAATTCAACACCCATGTATGATAAAAACGCTGCAGACAGTAGGCATACATGGAACTTTCCTCAACATAAAAAAGGACATATATGACAAACCCACAGCCAACATGGTCCCCAAGGGTGAAAAACTGAAACCATTTCCATTAAGATCAAGAACAAGACAAGGTTGCCCACTCTCACCACTATTATTCAACATAGCTTTGGAAGTTTTAGCTACAGCAATCAGAGAAAAAAGGAAAAAAAAGGAATCCAAATCGGAAAAGAAGATGTAAAGCTGTCACTGTTTGCAGATTACATGATAATATACATAGAGAATCTAAAAATGCTATCAGAAAACTACTAGAGCTAATCAATGAATTTGGAAAAGTAGCAGGATACAAAATTAATTCACAGAAATCTCTGGCGTTCCTATACACTAATGATGAAAAATCTGAAAGTGTAACCAAGAAAACACTCCCATATACCATTGCAACAAAAAGAATAAAATATCTGTGAATAAGCCTACTTAAGGAGAAAAAAGACCTGTATGCAGATAATTATAAGACACTGATGAAAGAAATAAAAGATTATACAAATAGGTAGAGAGATATATCCTGTTCTTGGATTGGAAGACTCAACATTGTGAAAATGACTCTACTACCCAAAGCAATCTACAGATTCAATGCAATCCCTATCAAACTATCACTGGCATTTTTCACAGAACTAGAACAAAAAAATTCACAATTTGTATAGAAATACAAAAGGCCCCAAATAGCTAAAACAATCTTGAGAAAGGAAAACAGGGCTGAAGGAATCAGGCTTCCTGACTTCAGACTATACTACAAAGCTACAGTTATCAAGACAGTATGGTACTGGCACAAAAACAGAAATATAGATTAATGGCACAGGATAGAAATCCCAAGGATAAACCTATGCACATATGGTGATCTTATCTTTGATAAAGGAGGCAAGAAAATACAATGGAGAAAAGACACCTCTTCAATAAGTGGTGCTGGGACAACTGGACAGCTACATGTAAAACAATAAAATTACAACATTTCTTAGCACCATACACAAAAATAAACTCAAAATGGATTAAAGACCTAAATGTAAGGTCAGACACTATAAAACTCTTAGAGGAAAACATAGGCAGAACACTCTATGGCATAAATCACAGCAAGATCCGTTTTGACCCACCTCCTAGAGAAATAGAAATAAAAACAAAAATAAACAAATGGGACCTAATGAAATTTAAAAGCTTTTGCACAGCAAAGGAAACCATGAACAAGACCAAAAAACAACCCTCAGAATGGGAGAAAATATTTGCAAAAGAAGGAACTGACAAAGAATTAATGTCCAAAATTTACAAGCAGGTCATGCAGTTCAATAACAAAAAAACAAACAACCCAATCCAAAAATGGGCAGAAGACCTAAATAGACATTTCTCCAAAGAAGATATACAGACTGCCAACAAACAGATGAAAGAATGCTCAACATCATTAATCATTAGAGAAATGCAAATCAAATCTACATTAAGATATCATCTCATACCAGTCAGAATGGCCATCATCAAAAAAATCTAGAAATAATAAATGCTGGAGAGGGTGTAGAGAAAAGGGAGCACTCTTGCACTGCTGGTGGGAATGTAAATTGATACAGCCACTATGGAGATCAGTATGGAAGTTCCTTAAAAAACTACAAATAGAACTACCATATGACCCAGCAATCCAACTCCTGGGCATATACCTTTAGAAAACCATAATTCAAAAAGAGTCATGTACCAAAATGTTCATTGCAGCTCTATTTACAATAGCCAGGACATGGAAGCAACCTAAGTGTCCATGATCAGATGAATGCGTAAAGAAGATGTGGCACATATATATAATGGAATATTACTCACCCATAAAAAGAAAGGAAATTGAGTTATTTGTAGTGAGGTGGATGGACCTAGAGTCTGTCATACAGAGTGAAGTAAGTCAGAAAGAGAAAAACAAATACCATATACTAACACATATATATGGAATTTAAGCAAAAAAAAAAAAAAAAGGGTCATGAAGAACCTAGGGGTAAGATGGGAATATAAACACAGACCTACTAGAGAATGGACTTGAGGATATAGGAAGGGGGAAGGGTAAGCTGTGACAAAGTGAAAGAGTGGCATGGACGTATATACACTACCAAATGTAAAATAGATAGCTAGTGTGAAGCAGCTGCATAGCACAGGGAGATCAGCTCGGTGCTTTGTGTCCACCTAGTGGGGTGGGAAAGGGAGGGTGGGAGGGAGGGAGATGCAAGAGGCAAGAGATATGGGAACTTAAGTATATGTATAACTGATTCACTTTGTTATAAAGCAGAAACTAACACACCATTGTAAAGCAATTATACTCCAATAAAGATGTTAAAAAAAAAAAAAAAGAACTGCTTTTGCTGCATCCCATAGGTTTTGGGTCATCCTGTTTTCATTGTAATTTGTTTCTAGCTATTTTTTGATTTCCTCTTTGATTTCTTCAGTGATCTCTTTGTTATTTAGTAGTGTATTGTTTAGCCTTCATGTGTTTGTTGTTTTTACAGTTTTATTTTTC